AAGAAAAGCCTGAAATCTACTCTCATTCCTTATGTGGGAAGCCTCACTATCATTGAAAGGGCACGCATTGCAGATTGGTTTGAGAGGTTTGTCAGTAAAGACAAAACACTTCGACAACAATGGATGGGATACTTACCAATTGCCCATGCCCATACTCTCTTTATTACAAGTCGCATTGTAGAAGACAAAAGGTATCAGGACTTACCTCTTGATAAGGTATTGGACAAGGCCTGGGAGATTCAGCTCACAGGAGTTCCATCAATATGGACAGACATAGATGTGGACCGGGACTGCCTTGCACGATTAGAAGAGGAAATGTTTGAGCGGTCTGCACAAGCCGGAATTGCTGGACACTTTCAGTGGGGGTTGGATGCTGGTGACCATCAGGATTGTTGGAATCCATACTCGGACACTCCAGAACATTGGAATCACGGTGATCGAGAAGGAAGCGATGGTGAGCTTGAGGTATGTGAGATAATTAAATGTATTTGCACCATCTTAGACTTCACAGCGTGGACATAATTATAAGGCCATTACACAGTCTGCAGTGGCCTCAAAATCCAAATCTCGACCCAAACCAAGGCCAATCAAGAAGGCAAGATTAGTATAAATATTCATAGATTTGATACTTTATATACAACAGTTTATCCTGAACAGTACTTATTGGTCTATTAAACATGTTTTAGACAGTTTGTTATTGCACGCTTGATGCGCGCTCAGACATTGATTGTGCGCGCTTGGTGGCTGTGCTAGCGCGCCTCTGCACGCCTCTGCACGCCGTGCCACGCTTTTTTTCCAGTGCCCCATCAATGGTTAGGCGATTTCTGTGATGCGGTATTTTGATCCGGGTTATAAAATCCCTTGTAAGTTATTATTGACATCCACTAGATCATATAAAACGTACAGCTAGTTTGGGGCACAACCATACACTTCAGACTCATAACATTTCTGTAATCTCAATTCTCTACTCTCTATCTATCGCATTTAGAATGAAGGTGAATATCCTGGTATTTCTCGCTTCAGTCAGCTGTAAGTTCGTACTAAGCTACACCGAATGACATTATTTATTCATGTGAACTCTAAAAGGTGCAGCAGCCACTGCCACAGTTACGTTTTACGAGTTTGCACCAACCCCAGGAGAGCCAGCTCACACCGGGTCATACTCATTTCGTGCAATTGGAGCGGGGGCAGACGGAACCACAACATATATTGGGGACTATGTAGAGAACGGAGGCGCTTCACTACAGAGAACTACATTCACTAGCGACGGAGCAACATTTACGACAGAGATGCCGGCTGCAACCCCCAATGCCGAGGTTTTCACGAACCATGGTGAGTTACTGGTGTCCTTCTAAGGAAATAAAATATTTATCTACCGATTTTTAGCAACTGTGATTGCTGACGCAAATACATACCTCTGGTCTTTTCATGACAGCACACTGAACGAAGATGTATTACAGCAATGTGTTGTTGATGGAGATGGGATTATGGCTTGCGCCTGGGGAAATGACGCGGGTCCCACGGCTTCATTTACAGGAACTGCAGTTCCCGTCTACACTCTAGTAGAGACCGGAAGTGTTCCAGTAGCATCTGGAGACGCATCCGTAGACTCGGGAGGCACGCCAGCATCCGCTGGGACATCCGGGGGTGATGGTGGAACTAAGTCTGTGTCTTCAGCGATGCCTCTGTTCCGGCCTGTTGCTGTTGCAGGAGCCATAGCCTTTTCTAGCTTTATTTTTGTAAACATGCCTGTATGATTTTAAATATGATACTTTACGCCTAAGCGGCCTGGTATTGCTAAACCCTTTGAGAAAAGCCATTATTAGATTTTAATTTTGATTACTGACATATGTAGCCAGACTTTGGTTTCCCGACTGACTAATTCATCAAGAGGGAGTGCATATGAATCATGTTTATGATGTCATCGGGTATTGAGAGTAGACACCTTAAGAATAAGTAGATTCATCAATTTTTCCGGCAACAGATCTTGAGATAGAGATACGGCCAAGAGAGAAGTCTACCCCACCCTATGCGGATAACACTTGGTAATCTCTGGTGATATAATGATAATCTTCGTTGATAAAGTGGAATAATACGTGTCAAATGCATCCAAAATCGAGGTTCTGTTTGGCAAGTCCTGGGTTCAAATCCCAGACGAGGAATGAGGAACTCTTTGGGGTTATATTTCTGTCCCATCTTGATAGCCCACCTATATCAACACACAAGGGGGGCATAAATTTTCTCCCTCACCACCCCATCTCTTAGCTGAGGCTTTGTTTGGAGGATCTGGTGACTGGTGAAGCTCAGATCATATCCAAATAGACGGTAGAGCAGTTCCGCCCTTCACTCCGAATGCTCAACGATTTGGAATTGATCCCATGAACATCAGGAATGGTTATTCTAGAGTACTAAGTGGGTTTCAGACTTATATACATGAGGAAGTACGCTCTAGTATGAGGAACAACCAGGCTTACTGGCTCTCCAATTCACTCCGTTTTCACTTCTCACTCACAGGTTGACACAATTTATTTGCCGTCATCGTGCCTATTCCCAGTCTGTGTACTTCAATCAGTTTGAAATTTTTTGACAGAGATCTTATCGGATAGCTTTGTATGACATGGGAATTTACCCATCTCTCGAGAAAGGCGATGAAAGCGATGGACCTTTTGTTACGTGAATATTTTTAACATACAACAGATCCGGGAGACCCCGCTGATATGATAGTCACGCCAGATAATTGCCGCCTCGGAAGTCCTCGTTGGTGTAATGGAATACATGTACTGATGCATTCGGAGTGTTATGGATATCTGTTTGGGCGAGTCCTGGGTTCGATTTCCAGACGAGGTTTATTCCATCACGACAACCTTTTTAGTCTATACCTCTCATAGTTTGATTTCGGTTTCATTTCCGGGAACTACCCTCTCCATATACACTATTTTATAAGTCGGAAACGCTCCAACAGCGTCTGGGGGAACCTATACTTATGCTGGGACGGCCGTAGAAAATAGTGTAATCAAGTCCCTGCCTTTATCGAGGGCAAGTAAATCGTTGCGTGCATAATAATAAGTACATTTATTCTACATCACATAGTAGGTAAATCAAATTTTCAATTTAGCAATAAAAAATCTCCAATAGACATAACTAACATTCGTTCAGCTGTTTCACTGGCTGGATGCGGAGTGAAGTATGTGCTAAATCTACCTTTCCCTCGCCCATAAAGCGGAAAAGTACACACAGTCGCGTCTGCTCCAAGAAAAATCCAGGATTCACTTCCTCAATTTTCTCCCTGATAACCTGTACACCATTATCTAAGGAAAGCATGATGGTCGTGATGCCTTCTAACTTATATGCGCCATTTTTCTCGAACCTCACAACATGGTATGAATCAGTTTTTGTTTCATACTGAAATTCTTTCATCAGGTTTCTATACCTCCTCGGAAAAACTGAGATTCCTACCACAATTGTAAACTGATGATCATCGTAAGCCGCGTGGATGTCAGCTCTCATTAAGATTGTGTTGTAAGGACGATCTGCAAGCTCCCTGCTAGACAGAAGCGCTTTTATTGGTGATGTTGAAGGGATAACGTCCATGAATTCAGGCTGCCCTTCTGGTCAGTTCATATCAATGAGTATTCTTGCGAGCGCCTTACCTGGGTCACTGAAAATAAGGCGACAATATGTGCTACATGGTAGCCGACCCTGAACGGACCCATGAAGCTCCAAGGAAACCTGTCTCCTGTTATAACACACCTCTGGTCCCTCAGTATTGTTTTCCTTTTTGTATCCTCTGACTGGAAATTAAGTTTAGTACTGCTAGCTACAACTCCAAAACGTGGCCATACACGGGAGTCATCTTTCTCTTCACCTGGCGATATCTTACGATGCTTGGGCAACTTAAAACATTGCGGCCAATGAGGTAACAATTCTGGGAACATAGTAGTTAAGTAAGCTTGTATGGCACGGGGAAATACAGTCGATCACCTGATTTATTCTGTCGAGTTATTCGCTTGGGGTTTGGAACGTATAAGAAATAATGTCCCGGAGTTATCAATGTATCATTCTTCTTGATTCCTTTGGACTCATATCCGTATAACACCAACATATTCTCTAAATCTGTCGAGCTAATATTTCGCGGATCGCATCCAGGTACAAGTACCACTAGACAGAAATTGATTATTAAATGGAAATTCGGTACAGGGTAAAAGGCTACATACTGGAGTCAACCTGCAATGTCGGCTCATCAATGATTATTTTCAACCAATCGTAAATCATGTTGGCTTTCAGTGTATTATGGGTATAACAGCCTGTTATAAATAAGTCAAATCAGACATTTTTGTAAGGATGTAATCTGACTTACCACCAACAAGTCCCATATTCATGGCCCCAACCAAATTGGTTTGAAAGCACCATATGTGAACATTACGCTCAATTTCATTGACATATTGTTCCTTATTCCAAGGAGCCTTCTTTACACGCAGGTAATTCATGCTTAGAGGTAGTACCAGTGAGAATTGAATGGGAGTTCGCGTTTATCCTTATCATTTTATACGTTCTGCAAGGGTACATTTACACACCTTATTGCTCATAGCTTACGCTGACTGTGTAAAAACATAGGATTTCCAGTTTTGGGTCAGGTCTAAAATTAGAAATTTGAATAGCCTCAACGGGACAAGTTTCATTCTAAACTCTGGGAGGAGATAGAACACAATGGGGGGGGGGGCTCCCTTCGCAAGGAGGTCATCACTAATTGATTCCTCGTAAACTTGTTTCATGGCCCCCAATTTTTTAGGGATTGGGGAACGAAAACAATATGATGAAGGGCTTATGACTGTCACTTCGGGGAGGAATTATCATTCCCATATCATTTGAGTTGTGATAAAGTGTATTGATTGATTGAGAGCGGCATAAATTCCCTTGTTTTGCACTATTATTCCGAAGATCGGGGTGCAAAAATAGCATGATGAAAGGATAGATACTATCTTTCTGCTTGTGGAAATCATTATTACATATCTTGACTTAGAAATGACGACCATAACTAATTTGTGGCCACTGAAAACTCCATTATGGTGGGGACTTACATTCTGCAAGAATGGATAGCAATATGGGGGTCCGGCCTCAGGCCAAAAAATCACCAGAGCGAGGCCCTTCTAAGGCTACAAAAAGATTAGGCTTATTTTGTTCTGAGCGGACGCCACATACTCGTGTCTATTGTGGTATAATGAAGGGAGAAAGGCCTACATTTTAAGCTCAAATTTTCTGTGAATAATCATTCTTACATATGATAACCCACCAACTGTAAACAGTAGTATCAACTGATTAGCTACCCCGTGGGTTGCCCCAAGTTGTATCAGCAATGGCAATCATTCGGATGTTCACGTGATCTACGACACTCGCATAAAAGCAAGTTGACAGGTTGGGCTTATTGCCTAACGAACTCCATAAATATGCTCCACTTGACCTCAGAAGAAGCTGCAAACAAGAGCAACAATATTTTTATATGGAGAACAGCCTCTTATAACTACACAATCGTTCTGAGTAAAAGCTAATCTTCTAGTTCCCAGATTCATCGATCTTAATCAGATGCATTCCATAGGTTGGCGCGTCGACGAGGATCTTCCAATGACGCACAGAAATATGTATCGATGGGTTGATGAAGCTTCCGAGGAACATTTTTCTAGAATCGGTTTTAGCACCCCCACTTATTTGATATTTCCTGTTGAGATAGAGCGCACCAAGAACAATCCCTTGGCTCACCATGGAAGAATTTTGGTGGACTTGGATTCGGGCCTCCCAAGTCCACCTCTGGCACGAGACTCTTTGGAAAGGCTGGATCCGGGGAGTTACGGGCTCTTCACTCTTAGTACGTGACCATTGGGAGGGAAGGCTTTCTAAGAATATAGGTTTGATATGCCGAGTGCAGATGGAGAACCCTCAAACCACTCGTTCACTTTCTCACCCTTATATAGTATTTATACACTAAAGATGAGTACGGTATACGCTAAAGTTCTCGTTCCCCAGGTATTATTTTTTAAGTCACGGCCAAACTCATTGACTGATCAATATATCAGTCAACCGTCGAGGAGCAGATACGCGGGCAAGTTAAAGATCGTGATGGCAGTAGATGTTGCCTCACCGGAGTGGAAATGGCGGAAAATGATTTAAATATAACTTATATTATTCCGCCATGGAAAGCATATTTGGTATGATATTGCCAATAAACTATAAAATCTAGCTGACAATGACCAGATGATGGACCGTGACGATGGAGATCGATGGGCCATGGAACACACTTTCCCCACAAAAAGGCCACATGCTCTTGCGGAAACGGTGATGACGTCCAGTAACTGCCTGACGATGTCAAAAAAGGCGATCCCACTTTTTGAGAAAAACATCATCGCAATCGACGTTGATGTATGCTTTTTCATCAATTCAACTGGAAGCCACGCGTAACTGATAAATTATCACAGGATAATTATCGCATTATCCGTTTTTATGAAGGGAAGAAAGTAGAAGCCGTACTTGGACAACCCCTAAAAGAATATATGGTTCCAAATGATACCAAGGCCGATAAATTTTTACGCACTCATTTCCTATACAGTCTATGCGTTCACACTTATGGAGGTGACCACATAGACAGTTTTCCCCTCTACTATGTGGATGATTTCATGGACAAAATGGGATTATTTGAAGAGAACAAAATCGAGTTTTCTTTGAAGGGTGGTAATTATTCAAGTGGCGAATGGGATACCTATCTTGGGCGGCAGATTCTGGCCTGGTTCGAAGATAGGCCATACGAAGCTTGGAAGACTAAGAGTATTGAAGAGTTCGGAATTGGTCAAGTAAAAATAGAGTTCTGATATATAGTAGTCCTACCTTGGCAGTCGAGAAATATTGTGGCAGTTGTTATTAGTGTGTCCGTGCTTATGAGTACTATTACCTGTACAGAAAACCTACCTATAACTACCAATAAACAAGTCCGGTTGGCAGAGTGACGTCGTCTTGGAAAATTACATTCGTGCTCTATAAACCGTGGGATGTTAACAAATATCAGGGGAAAATCCTTGGGAAATAAACCTGAAGTGGCTTACACTTTTCCGAGTCATTTATTCCTTCCCCATTGCAGGTACGTTTCAAAGTAGCTCCTTATACATCTGAAAGACGA